AAAACTTAAACTATATTGCGGAAACCGATACAGGGTAGTAAAATTCAGTACAGAAGTTATCTGTGAGAAGTTATGGTTGAAATTTCAGTTTAAGAAACACAGACTCGGCTCGCGCTTAATATGCCTCCGGTACTGCTAGCCAAGAATTAAGAAAACGAGAAGATTTCAATTACATATGCATATAAAATACAATTTAAACAATTCAACAAAAAAAGTTTCAATTTTAATTTCAATTTTTGTGTAGCCTACGGCAATGTTTCCATGACAATGTACAATCAGATAACGATAAAAGATATTCGATTTATCAAATAAAACTCCTGTGGAAACGAGACCATATCCATTCCAACTGAATTGAAATTTCGATAACTTAGTGAATTCAAGTATTATCGATGAATATAACAATGAGATCATGTTTAAGCTAATTCGTTGGCTGTGGGGGTCATTCCATTGTTTATACGATCAGTGAAACACATAGCGTATACTTTTATTCTGTTGCCGCATTAAACAACAACTTTCTTCATGATAGGTATAAAACGGCCATAAAATGACAAGCAAGGAAATTGTTTTACTAACAGGGATAACCACTTTTCTCGCCATATGCCTAAGGTACCCAACAAGATGTTGTTTCACTATCAGGTGCAATCAACAAACAGTAATAATATTCTGCGGTCCATCGCTGTTTATCGGATACTTTAGTTTTATTATAAGGATGTTGCACTGCGGTGGTGTCCACAGCATTGAAATATCAAATAATTATTTTCTTCGATATAAATGTATCTGAAAATTTCGCTAAGAAACTTTTCAGCAATAAACCAAAACCTTGACGCAATTATTGGTTGTTAAATAAATTTCAGAATTACATTTTGACATTAATATCTGTGATCATTTTAAGCATTCTAGGCTACAGCACTTTTGAGAACTTTGGTATATTTAAACTTAAAACGTGTTTACTATGAGGCAAATTAAGTAACTTTGAGGAAAGAAGGAATAAAAATGTTTGTTAGGTTTTTCTTTAAGCGATTTTTTGTCTCGTAATATTAAGAAGATATTTATTAAAGGTATGGGCCTATTAGGTTGATGGCTTTAAAAGGTCAGAAACAAGGTAACAAGTAAATTATAGGAATAATCTGCTGCAAATCGTATTTAGGCCTACAGTACAATTTTTATTTTTATAAGAACACTGAGGCTGAAATTGCTTAACAATTAAGAACAAATTGAGGCTGAGGTAAAATTTAAAGTGAGATTTTCATTTTTTAAAAACTAGAAAAAAGCAAATAATTATATCTACCTTATGTGCAGTATGTGTGACTAGTAACACCCCTTTTATAATGCAATACAGTATGTGTACCTACCTGTCATTTAGGACCATTCTTAACAGGGCCCTTTTTCTGTGGCTATTTTTTAGGGGCCTTTTATTCAGGGACCATTTTTTCCGGGACCAACTTTACTTACATTCCAATACAGATTCTGCAAAATAATATTTTCTTATGTTTGAAAAAAGTGTGTAAAATAAGACAAACTAAGTACATTTGAGCCTGAAATCGGACAAAAAATAAGAACAATGAGCCTATGCAAAATTTTACTGGTTCTTATAAAAAAAAAAAAGAAAAGTGTATTGGCCTATTTTACGGTATGTAGTACGTGTGTGTATGCTCCTTTCCCCCGTTTTATTTTTATTTATTTATTTTTTTTAAATATTTCGTATCTTACTAGACGTTCCTGGATATTTCTTTAAAACACCCCTTAACATTTCTATTTATAACATATTTAAAAAAGAAAAAGTTCCTTCGGAGCCTGGGATTAGGGTTGTGTTTTGATTGGATTGGCATATTGAAGGATTTATTTAATGAATCGTATACGGTAGTGTATAACGTGTGGGAGGGGTTTATAGGAGATGACGTGCTGAAAAAGCCGGCTGCTTCGAAGTAGGCTTAAGTTATAGTATAAAGGCTATTAAAAGTGCCTAGAGACATTTGGTTGGATATTTATAGAAACAATACATGCAACACATTTTACCAGCGTAACGGATAGATGATGAAGTCTATTGATAAGATTCTGTTAGTGACATCAGGGAGTTGTGACATTTGAACTTGGACCCCATACCGTAGTGATTTGATAGATAGCGTTTATTACGTCAGCAATCACCCTGAAAATGATTACAGTACTGCGTAATATAAAGGTCCCTGACCCTACAGGATGTCAAAGTACTGAATAATCGAATGGGTTTCGCCTGGTCATTAAAGATATGGTTTAGCTTCCATAGTTCCACCATCGCCTTCCTCCCTTTCCCACATCTATACAATGAGCTGAAATTTTTAGGCGGGATAAATTCTATGGCTCGGCTCATGGACCCCGATGTCGATTTTTCCACCCAAGGAGAGAACGCTATTTTGCTATGAATATTGGCTCAGGGGGGATTCACGAGCAAGAAAACCCATGTGTTGCCCATCGGTATGTGCATTACGGCTTGAAAAAACGACGAAGGGGTGACCGACATAACATAATAAAATAATAGCCAATTAATAACTTCATAATAAAAAGACGATAATCTGTTACTAATGATGGCTTATACCTAATCAACAGTGCAGCTACTATTCACGTTGGCGCATGTGCAGTGCCGGTGGACCTGTCAGTCAACGTGCTACTGTATTACGCGTCATCGCGCCAATTAAAAAGGTTTGCATATAGATTTGACATAAAGCCAGATTGACATCTGGTTAAAAACGGCTCAGGAGAAGGGGCAGAAATTGATACTGCGCGTATACACTTGGTGACACGGGTGTAACAATTGTCTTTTGTCGCGCGTGTTTATAATGGCGCTCTGAAGTGTTTTCGAACCTACTTTTATTGTATAATTTACATCCTGATTTGAGTTTAACCTGAAAATATAACAGATATGATGTACAAATTGTGTAGCCCTACCCAAGGCTAATTCTTATACTAATATCATTCTATATTGCTATTATTTTATTATGCTATTATTATTAGGCTACACTTTTTTTAAATATAAGAATCAGTAAAATTTTGTCAAGGCTCTGTGTTTTTGTTTTTTTTTTTGTGTTTTTTTTTTTTTTTTTTTTTTTTTTGCGCCAATTTAGGTTCTAAATGTTCTTATTTTACACAATTTTCAAAGACAGAAAAGTATTGTACAGCATTATATTACTGTACTGAATTAGAAGGTAAGACGGCCACCCCTACTGCACATCAGGTACAGGTAAGACTTACAGAATTTTACAGTTTTTCAACATTAATACTTTACTATACCGTACGTAACAAAAACGTAATGGTTTACATTTTACCTCAACCCATTTTTTTAAAATTTTGTTCTTATTTGTTGTATATTTTTATGAAATGTGTTTTTATAAAACATAGTGTACTACTATCATTATCAGGCCAATTGTTATCATTATTCTATTATTATCATCATTTTAATTTTAATTTTCTAATTATTAGGCCTATTAGGCCTATTATTGTGTTATGGTTATGATAATCATGATAATAATCGCGTGTTTCTAACGAGCTAAACACCAAATAAATGTTCTTATATCTTTATTTTAAAGTTCACGAATCAACCACATTATTTCTAAATGTGACTCGTCATTCGGATGTGTCTATTGTATATGAGGAGGTTAAAAATAGGCTACGTCACTTGTACGCTATTAAAATGTGTAGGTGTGACTTTTTTTCCAAACGGAATGACATTAATACAATGAAAACAGGATTATAATATAACTATTATATTGTCACGACATCCGCTCATTTAAAGCAATATTCTTAAGTTCCAATAATGAGTCAGTGGTTTACCATGGGGGGGGGGGGGAGGTTGCAGATTTTAATTGGCCAGATCGGCAGACCGACTGACCGGCTTTACACTTTTTTTATATAAGAACCAGTAAAATTTTGCCCAGACTCCTAAAATTTGTTTTTGTTTGCCAATTTGAGGCTCAAAATACTTTGTTCTTATTTTTTAAGTAATTCATCATCAGTGTTCTTATAAAATGTGTTATACAAAAGTGTAGTCCTATTGCTGCGGCTAGCAGTGATTTTCTATTTATAAATTTGACAATGCAGTCACATCACATCACTGCAATGCCTTGCATGTCCAATTGGGCCTAGGTACGGTACATACCGTAAAATGGGGCCAGTGTGAAAAAAGTTTCAACAATTGTTAAATAGGAATATTTCTCAAAACTGAAGTTAACTTAGTAATGTATGACACACTATACAACATTAATAAGGCCTATCCATATTTCTATCCACAGGATAACACGACTCATTTTGAATTATGTTTGTAAGTACAGGTGAGTCACTATATTATGAAACTGCCCCCCGACGTCATAAAGGTAATGAACAAATTTTGTAATCTTGAAGCTGACAGGGACTTAATCAGGTGGACGTTGTATGAGTATAATTAAAATCACCTTTTCAAATTGCTATTGAATTATAATTAGCCAAAGGCGGTCTATGCCGTGTCACTCAGTTCTCAACAACGTTACAAAATAAAAACGAACAATAAGTTTGACGTTTTTTTAAATAAGGGGACGTTATGTAAACTTAAGTACTATGTTATTCTTAACAGCGTGAAAACAAGGTGTACAAATAAAACAAAGATTAAGAACAACACAGACATGCAGTTGACGAACACTTGTTCCTTTTGTAAAAAATTACTGGCCATCCAAAGTGTCAAATAATACAACAGTTTCGCGGTGTCAATCATGTTGTATGTTTAGAGTGTTTGGGAAGGGTTGCCGGTTGTGAACTTTTCGCTCGCTTGCGCAAAGCAACTGTTCTACAACCTCAGTGTTATACAGGCTGGGTGGTCAATTTCTTTTCAGGAAAATTTCAAAATAAACAAGACACAAAACGGCTTGGGTGGCATGCTTAATTGATGTTAGAACTTTATAAACAAACTTTGCTGAAACGCTCCACACTGATTGGCTGACCGAGCGCGCAATTTGTAGAAATAGGCAGATAAGTGTGTATTGTTCGTCTCGCACGGGCAACGAATGGGAACCATAGATGTTGTTTTGTTTAAGCATTGTTAGGTTTTCTATACCTCACTGAAAGTCATCCAAATTCAACATACAACAACATTTAAACAATCCTAAAACAAAATACTGAAGACAAAACAACAGCTTGAATAAGACCCGCTGCTTGCGCTTTAGACAGTTTATTCTGGAACGGTCTGCGGGTGACGACGGCTCGTTTGTAGATCCTGCTCAGTGGTCCAATATCTACAAGACTAATTCTTTATCATAATAACTTCACACATACTAGAAACAGATACAGACATAAATTGACGACGTAACCTGCTAAGAATTCTCAACAAAGTATTCAGTTGCATCAAGATGGCTTCCCTTAGCAGTCTCTATCAGGCCTTTCCACATCACTACGGACATATACAATTTCCAGCTTACTCTACACCTTGTTTTTATGGTCTTCGAGACACCGCTTATGCTGCTACTACTGCTGCTGCTGCTGGGTTTCATTTTGGAATTCTGCCGTCCCTAGAGAGAAGAGAAACCCCTCAAAAACCACCATATTCGTACATAGCCTTAATTGCTATGGCAATCCGTGCTTCCAGTGAGAAAAAGTTGACATTGAGTGGGATATACCAGTACATAATGGATAACTTTTCTTATTACCATGACAACAAGCAAGGTTGGCAGAATTCTATACGACATAACTTGAGCCTAAATGACTGTTTTGTGAAATTACCACGAGAGAAAGGAAAGCCAGGGAAGGGAAACTACTGGACTCTAGCTCCAGATTGTGAGGAAATGTTCGAAAATGGAAATTTCCGTCGACGAAAGCGCCGACCAAAATCATTCACCAAATCCACCAACAATGATACGGACAGAAACATGAGCGACGACGGGGGTGTAGAGCCATTTGCCGAGGAGAAAAGTGATGACGAGTTTGAAAATGACGAAAATATCGAGAACTCAAGCTGTGTTTATACAAAAAGAAATAGCAAACATTGCGAGAAACACAGCGTGGAGCAAGCCTCGGGGAAGTTACGGGATCGCGTAGAAAATGACTTGAGCCACGAGAGCGATTACGAAGCAGATCATGTTATTCTTTCTGAAACCGATAAAAACATTTCCTGTGCTGAGCCACAGTCTAGATTGGAGTTTAAAGAGAGTATTCCTGTGAACGCAATTATTGAAAATCGTTCTGAACCACAACAATCACAGAAATTGACTTCATTCAGTATTGAAACTCTTCTAGGAGAATCATGTTTAAAAGATTCTAAGAAACGCATTCGATCAGACGGGCAAGAGGAATACGAAGGTGTTAATAAAACTAAACACACGCGCGCTAAAATTCAAAAAATTGACGAAACTGAAAAGAAAACAACTGAAAAGTACAACTTTTCGCTGGATGAACATTCAACAACAAATCATATTGAACGTAGCCCCGAACCCGTGCAGATGTCGCGAGTATCGCCAAAACCACAGGCTCTTAGTATATCGATCCCTGTGTCTTCGCAATATAATCGAGATATTTCGAGTCCAAACCAAGAATTCGTTCACCGACTTCGCAGTCTATATGAAACCCGCAGCCCGATTGCTTTCAGTCCGTATTCGTCGGTTCGCTACGCACCGTCGATGTATGTCTCCCCGATGTATCCGAGCCAGCACGACTTATCGCCTCCAGCTTATGTGGCTTTTCCATACGGAGTTAAACCATGGAAATTAGATGGAAGTAGTTATAAGAGAGACATTATTAACATGTACTGATTGATAGAATTATTTAACACGTAAAAATAATTAATAGTGTGGTGTTTATATTAAATTTCATTATGAATATAATGAGATGAGGCTAAGAGATATATTTTTATATAAGTACTGTAAATTGTTGTATACAATTTACAAAGAGACGGTATAATTGTTATAAACCTTTGTTCTGTTCATTATTATTATAAAAAAATTGTCTTATCACAGTTTGTATTGTTAAATATTATGGTACATCCACCGTAACTTTTAAAACTACAGATAATACAATTTAATTAATTAATTAATTATTGAGAATTACAGTTTTGGCCCAAGATCTAATGATTGATTTTCTTTCGTTTGAGATAATACGTTACGTTGTATAACGAACGAGATAATTATAAATTCATAAGAAATACAATTATACATTTTTGCTGTTGAGTGTGTGAACCTACGTTTTTTAGCCGTAGAACAAGCATATATTATTATATTTTTCTTTCATTTTGTGATTTCTTTCATTCCCTTTGACCTTTGTTGATGAAGTATGGATAACAAAATTAAAATATAATGAATTTGATATATTTAATTGTTGGTTTTATTCAGTCTTTATCGTTCGGATATTTATTCTATTAATGACCACCGAACAAGAATATGGATCGGAAGAAACTACGATAATATGTTAAAAACACAACCTAATTGGTGATTTTGGTTTATTATGACGCAATGTTGGTACCGGTAGGCATAATCATAACAGTTAATAGGGCCTATTTATGGTAAGGCATGATGAAATATCATAATTATGCTGATATCCGGTGTAAAAAACATCGCGTCAGTTATAAGAAATCTTTAACTCATTCTTAAAATTTTCCCTTAATAAACATCGGAAGACACAGACGAGTTAAAAATTCAACCACACATAACTTACATTCAATCACAATATAAGCCTAATTATATAAGGTTAAATTGAAGATAGTGGTGGTAAAGATAAAGATAAACTTTATTGTCCATCAAATATGTGGAATATATATATATATATATATATATAATTGTTTTATCAAAAAGGAATATCATCAGGTATATACATATAAAAATTTGATAATTCAATACACTTAAATCTACCATGAATTATTATTATTATTAATCATTTCATTAACACCACCAGCGTCATCTGATCATTATCATTATATTTTATCACAATAATTATTATAAAATTTCACAATAAAAAATACGAGAAAAAAAAAGAAGCAGATATACAATCAATAATGAGGCCAACATCATTTAAATTAACGTTATTAGCCTCACAATCTCACTCCTTGCTTCAATTCCTGTCACAATTTTTCTTTTTTCTTGCAACTCAAAAACTAATCTCTAGTCTTATAGAGACTGGACGAGTTTCGTATCATCGGAAAACTATATTAAATTGTATACGTGGAGATGATAGCTTGGTGGTTGAGATGCTTGTTTTCCAACCCCAGGGTCCTGGGATCAAATCCCGAGACAGCACTTGATTTTTTCTTACTACTAAAAAAAACTATTTTCACTCCCTATTTCGTAATGAGATTTTGCTAATACTGTACAGCATCACATTATTTAATTTATTTAAGAGGGCCGCTGAATATCAGCCGACCTTTTAGGATAAGCTGGAAAGGTCACCCTCTATATTTATATTTCAAACATATTTATACAGGATTAAAAACATATCAGGTGGTTCTTATAGCCTGTTTTCCATAAGGTCCTGTTCAAAATTATACTATGGAAGATAAAACAAACATTATACATCACACTTCAATAGATATTAAATTCGAATAAAGCAAAAAGGGATTATTAGATAGTAAAAACGCTCGGTCATTATTTTACATACGCGCGCTGGATAAACCGTTCAACATTTTAATTTATAAAAATAAATTTGGAAAGGTCAAAACATAACAGTGATAAAATCAAAATGATAAAAAATGCACACGCACATAATATACCGATGTTCGATGTACGTACACATCATTTACAGAAATGCATATAGGCATACGTATACATACATCGTACACAGTCAAGAAAAAACTATAAATATGAAAATACTAAATTCTCTCGGATTAAATAATTAACGTTATAACAATTAATAGAGGCACATGCACAACACAAGATATAATGTTAAAAAAGCTGCATCCATATCGGACCGAATCGAACAGAAATTAGGACCGCGTTTCAGATGCGCTGAACGCCAGCCAGCTAACAGTTAAAAACGTTTCTTTGTAGAAACAGAAATACGTATTGATAACATAATTTCACAACTAAATAACTTTGCAAGATTTTGTTAACGTGATTTTCAGACATTACCACAAAGTTCCGCTTAAGTTATAATATGATTACTAGGCTCTTTCAAATTAACGCTGCAAAATCCTTCCAAGATATTATAAGAGTAGGCTTATATAATTTAGTTAGGTACGGCTAGTATTACAGTGCAAACCTCCGACGATACGAATATATAAGTATCGTAGACTGTGATTCTTCTGTTGTAGCATATTTCTCGCCATATCAACTTGGGTTGCACTTTCCATATTTATTATATATTTTCTATAACCTCATTTTAACAAGGCCGTTGGGTCTCTTACGTTTCTTTTTATAATGTGTGTGAAATAAATCAAAGTTTGTTTGCATCCACCATTGGGTTAAATACATCCGAGTAATTTAATAGACTTACATGTTTTCATTTAATTGCTTCGCCAAACAACGAAAATATTGAATAAACCTGTTCGCAAACAGGACAAGCAACGGCCAGTACTTTAATAACCGGTTAATTGAATATTTTAACTGTCGATCAATTTGACATAACTTGTCAAAATCGGAAAATAAAACAAACCAGTATTTGGAATGCAAATCCCAAGGTGTTTATGTTACTGTTCATGCGTCACTCTATTTAACAAAGAGAATAAAAACCTCTGTCGCACCAGCTAAATCCTATAGCCTACTGCGCCGTTGGACCTTTCATATTATGTTTAAATTTCAGTGCAACAAGCAGTTGAGAAGAATGAAGAATAAACGAAAATACCTGTACAAAAACATCATTAGTTGATGGTTTTTGTTAGTGGTTTGTTCTATTGACAGCCAGTTGGGCCTGGGGGAAAACAAGTAAAGAATTCACAATCGTCAGTTTGCCTTCTCCCCAACAAAACCCTTGTATACAATCGTTTAAATGGGTGAGTTTATTTGCCCAGAACTTCGTTTACATGGGTAGATACATCCGCCCTTTGTCGCTCACATAGCCCAACGTATACGATCCCATATAAAAACAAACATAATTTTTTTAATTTCTTCCCCACTCTGTCTGTTTCCTTTTCTCTAAATATTACTGAAATACAGGCCTAGTGAAATCATAAGTGCTGACATGAACGTGAAACTAATTTAACCATGCACACCATTAAAAGTTCAAATTACTTTCGCAATTCAACTAAATTCCAAAACAAACACGAGAAAGTTTAATCAGGCTGTTTTCGACACTGATTTCATGATAATCTTTTGATAATATTGAAAGGTAACTTTATTTATTATTGTAAATTTATGTTTTTTAATTTTTTTTTATTTTATTTTATTTTTTTTAGTATTCCATAACCATTGCGACCCTTTTATTAGTACCAATTAGTGTTTTTTGTTTTGGTAGTAATACAGAAATCGGACTCTTACTCAACCTTTGTACTCTTATGTTATAGGCCTGTATTTTGGTTCTATTCAAACGTCGACAATGAATGGCTATGAAAAACATGAAACATTAATAAACAATTTCGATATTGATCATAAGAAGACTCAACAGACTCACTAAAAACATGAAAAATATCGTCTTTTGATAATAATTGTTTATGTTTTCGTAATTACGATAAAATTTGAGACTAAAGCATCTGAAAATGTAATTCATAGGCCTATATGAAACTCGATCACAGACCTAGCCCTTTACTCTTGGGCGCCAAACTAGTCTCTGTTCCTAGTGCAATACTCTCTAATCGACAGTAAGTACACTTTTTTTATAAGAACGCTAAGGCTGAAATTGCTTTAAAATTTAAAAACAAAGTAAGAACAAATTGAGGCTGAGATGAAATGTCAACTAAGGTTCATTGTTTTTTTTTAAATAGAAAAACCAACAAATCTTACAAGTACCTTAATGTGCAGTAGTTTTAACTACGTAATACCCTCTATAATACAATAACTGATATAATAATAGTCTTCTTTTAATTTTAATTTTGTTAACGTTTTTTTTTATTGGTTTAAATTAATATGTACAAATCGCCACTGCTTGCGTGCGTAATTCAGCAGCTTGCTTCAAATCTGCTTCAAGTATATTCATTCAAACAATATCGTGTTACACACGATAAATCAACAGAAAGCTGATGCGAAACGCTAATCTGATATCGCACCAAATCCAACAAATTATGTAGTTTTAGAACCTTTTGGATATTTTTATAAGTATAGTGTACCAACCTTACATAAGTAACACAAAAATATAAACAAAATATACACTTTGCTTATCATAATACAGATATTTCTATATATTATTTTATCTCTTATTAATAAATTATTTTGACAATGTAAATAATTGGTTTGATGACTTAATTTCGGTAGGTCTTATTTCGATGTTATTTATGAGCTCATTCGAAGCAGTACCATTATTACCGTATTTATTTATTTATTGTATTATAAAGGACTTACAGGCCTATTATTAGGCCTATCATTACCGTTACCTTTACCGTCGTTGTATTATTATTATTATTATTATTATTATTATTATTATTATTATTATTATTATTATTATTATTATTATTATTATTATTATTATTATTATTATTATTATTATTATTATTAGTAGTAGTAGTAGTAGTAGTATTAATTATTATTTAATATTTTATTATTATTTATTATAGGCCTATAAGTATATGTATTTTTCATTTGCTAATATTTTCAACCTTAGTTTTAACATGCATATACAATTCTAACAATCTATAGACTATCGTTATTATCATTATCATCATATTCATCATTATCATTCATCTTATACTTTTATTGTTAAAATAATAATTTATTATTATTATTGTTGTTTTAGGCCCCTATTTTTATCGTCCTAATTAATTTTGTTATTGCTGCTTACAGCAACGCACCTGAGTTTTAATATACCCTCAATTTAAAACCTGATCAAATTCCAACATTTTAGTGATCTATCATCGTTTTAAATGTGCCTATTTGTTTGTTGTGTTGGTACTGTACATGACGTCATAATATAGTGGTACATTAGTCAACATGCCACTCATGATCAAGTTGTGAGTGATCTATTCTATTTCTGATAGGATTATTGATAGTAATGCTTTTCAATAAGAATGTCGTTTATTTACTGAGTATTAACAAATCGAAGGCTGTTTGGTGTTGGTATTTAGGTTCTAGATGCTGTATATGAATCGTCAATTAGTGCTGAGAAGGTGTGCGTCTGCAAGAAAAACAAAACAAAAAACAAATACAACGGAACCGGTGTTGACTGACGTGGGGTTAGTTGAAGGGAACACTAATTATGCCGTTCTTTAGCATAATCAACTCGACAAGTAG